TGCCTGCCCTGCTCCACCTCAACTTTATTGATCCATCTTTAATTAAGAAGATGAATGGTGTGACATCCATGATCCATCTATTGTTACCTGTTTATACCATCTGCGTTACTCTCTGCACCTTAGCCCTGAAATTGTTGTTGGATGGAGGAATGCTAGGGCAAAATATCTCCTTGAAGTTTTCAACCACTCCTTTGTTATACGGGTTGGCTCCACAATCATACCTATATCTAAAATTCTCATCTGTGGTCTGCAAAAACAAGGCAAATTAAGTATATATAATGTAACATATACATCAAAGTAAGAACACATGTGATGGAGTCTTTATGCAACTTGATTGTGATCAGGGTAAGAAGAGCATCTTACCTGATTTGTACTGATCAGATACAAATGGAAAGCAGTCAGACCACCGACAAACCACATTGCTATGAAAGTATAGACTATCAGAACTATGGAAGCAGGGGTTTTAATCATCGCTTTCCAAATTGTTAACTCCTCTGAGCCCGTGATCCTTCTGATGTAGATCCAGCAGAAAGCAAAAACATATATACAGAGAAGAGTTGTTGAGAAGACAAACATGAAGAAGAACCGATAGTTTCGCTGCATCCAGAAATACCATAAATCAAATACACATGTTTTAAGTATCATGCCAGCACAGATGACTTTTGAAATTCTAACTGTCTTTCTTCCTTTAATTTAAATGATATTTTAATAAGTTGAGAAATTTGCAACTAAAAACTAATTGTCACATCCCAACACCAATAGGAGCACTGTAATCAGGGAACAAAACCTCTAGCTTAGAGAGATAAAGAGACACACAAAGAGAGTAAATACAGAGGAGACTTGTTCTCTTCCCACCTTTCAATCCTCCTTTCTCCCATCTCTTATTTAGTCCTTTTTTTGGTTGGGGATGGAGGGGAGGTGGAGGAGAGGGAAGTGGGCCCTGTGACCTTTAGATGTTGAACAATAAGCCTAAAACAAGACATAAATCTAAACAAATGAATAAATTACCCCATACCAGTCCAATACATTGCCCAAGCAAAGGATAGTGATGATCAAATCGTTGAACACAATTGTTGCAGATTGAACAGTGAGAGCAGCGAGGAGGTCTATAAAGCATGCAAGTATCACAATACTCGCTCTTCACAGTGATCCCATTAGCTTCCACTTCTTTAATGCGTGGTAACAGTAACTGTGGAGTTTGGCCACGCCCAGAATCTGCATTGCTGTCAAATCCTTCAGGTTCAGGAGGGCGCTGGTTACGTGGAATTATACCAGGATCTCTTCCAGACGTTAGAAGCAGAAGAACTAAATCCTGAAAAACAAGACAGGTTAATGATACCCAAAATATTTTCACTGTCATATAAATCACGGTGACTTCTAAAAAATTTAGCACAAATGTGGCTAAGATTGTGAAAGGTTGGCACAGTTAAATATATGCCCCCAAAAGAAACGAAAATCCATGATTACCCTCCTATCAAAATCATCAAACTAACTGATCCTGTACACAACTTAGAAAGTAATTGCACTTAGATGGTCCAGACCAGACAGTAAAGCACCCACCACAGAACAAATCAAGACTGATGTAGCCACAAATCAAACCTTGAATAACCATAGAGTTTGTTTGTATGCTCAATGATTCTTAGACTAGGAAAAATACTCTGCTACTGCATAATATTAGGCCCTACCACAAACAGAGTCTTGGGCAATTACGTATAAATAGGCTTCTGCTTGACAATGTCTGCTACATACATGAATTAAACTAGAATTACAGCAAGAGAGAAATGGCCACCCCATGTGATAAATTGTCCTGCTTTGTAAGACATT